ACAAGAGGACCTCACAAGTCCTGTCGCTCCTAAAACGGAATTTTAGTCGTTTCACTCGACTGGCACTGCCCCGAGTAATCAATACCTACATCCGACCAACCATGGAGTACGCTATACAAGCTTGGTCACCATGGCTTCAAAAAGACATAATTCTTCTACAGCAGCGAATATATCATCCAGCCATGAAGCTGGTAATTGGATTGCATAATAAACCATACGAAGACAGGATTGCCAGTCTCAACCTATTTGACTTCTACTATCGGCGCATCAGGGGAGACCTAATTCTAACATATAATATACTGAAGACACCTAATCATCCGCTGGAAGACCTTTTTGTCCGACGTCGAACACGAACGGGCAGGAGGCATGACTTTTCGCTCGCGGTACCTCACTCGAGTGGTAACTGTCGACGGAACTTTTTTGTGGTCCGTGTATGTTTCATCTGGAACTCCCTACCTCCCAATGTTGTACATTCACCGAGTTTAACCATTTTCAAGAGCAATTTAGATGCATATCTTATGTCCAAACCGAATATGGAACTATTTAAATCCATGTGATACTCAGCAAACATTGCGCATATTTTTGCGTCCCTTTGTATATATACGGTCACCCTATGGTCGTTGTAAATTTAATTGCTTTTTAGACCATTAAAAACTTGAATTACCTTGAATAACCTTGAACTACTGAGCCATCATTCCGCTCGCCGTTGTGTGGTGTGCGGGCGTTGACACTGCACTGTGCCGGTCAATGACAGACCTGTGAACTTGTTGACGCTACGAACGTGAACAATTGATGTTTGTTGTACACATTTGCTTGTGTAAATAGTGTCATAGAATTACGAACCCGATTCTTCTATTTGATATTCGGGATTGTCGAACTTACGCGTCACTCAAAGTTCCGTATCGGGAACCTCAACATGACCATTGTCATAAAAGAGTTACGAACCCAATTGCCAGAGTTCGAAGGACGAGCCCCCAGGACGCGACCATCTCAGGTTCAGCACTTCCTATTTTGTACCGAGTCTAATCGAAACGTGTCAAAAGTTAGGGGCCATTAGATGCAGCATACATTCCTGCCTCATACACCTTTGCTAGCTTTACGGAGATCGTCAGTTTAGAGAAAATTCCACGTATATACCGTTTAGGATTGGTATCGAGTAGAAGCCAAATCACCAATTGCTTACCAGTTAAACACGGAAAGCCCCCCACCGCGGGGTCTTTTATGAGCAAATCCCAACTAACCAGCTACAAACTATTGGACAGCAAAGCAAACATCTCATAGGCACATCATACGTCTCTTTCACTGACTATCATGGAATTGTAAACGAATGCTGCAAAGTATTTACATAGCTTCTGTAGTAAACCCCACCTTCCATTACACGGGCGAGGCAGAGCTTCGAGAAAACCACATACTACTCGCATGCCTCATCAGTAGTATCGGTGTACCTCATCATTCACCACTGCAAACAAAACGGTAACCGTCAGTTTGAAAAAACCCCACGTTTAGCAGCCAAATCACGAGTCCCCTAATAGGACCGAAGTGTGACTTGTCGTTGTTCACCATAAGGTAATGAGGAAAGGCAAAATAATGGATACGCCCGAGCTGGAAGTTTGCGCCACCACGAGAAATAAGCACGTAATGAGGAAATCTAAAAGCATTCGGGACTGGGGGTAATGTTGCGACAGCGTTGGTTAGCCGTCCAAACTAAATAATACTTA